CAGCAACAACAAGCATGTGGGTGCTCAAATATGCGCGTGTGTGTGTATGAAGCGGCGCCATCTAGCGCCATTGTTCTCCACATAATTGTACTTGCCATGCGGCCAACAGGCATTGCACTTGCGTTGCATGCAACATCACTCAGCGAAGCATGTGTTAGCAATAAAATTACACCCACTTTACGCGACCAATTCAACGACAGACAGTTAAGTGTGTACATTTATTATGTATCATTATAATTTTTTGCTGTTTTTGCTGTGCTAGGATTTTTAGAAGAGTCATCGTCTTGTAGATCAAGAAGGTGGCGTCACCCTTGATACCAAAGATTCAATTCCATTAAAGATGCAATGAGTTTTGTAAGCTAAGCTTTGTAGGCTAAAGTTCGAATTTTTTACATTCGTTCCTTAAATTGTATGAAAGCCAATAGAAATCAATGGCAGCTAATCCCACTAGTCATTCGGGTATGATTTTTTAAGCTAAGTTTATTATCAATTCAAAACCATTTAGAAATATCTAGGTAATTAAGATATGGCAACAATTCTTCGTTCTCATAAACACTTATATCTAAGTGATTTAGTTCTGAGTTCCGAATTGTCTTCTGAAACTTAAGATCAAAGAAATAGTCTCACCTCTCGTTCTACCTAAAGCATCAACTGCCATATTCGCCATTTCTCCATGTTACCAAGTTTTGCTTTACACATTTTAGACCAGTTTTATCATTGTGAATGAGTCAAATGACAAACCAATCTCAAAAATGGAAATACAAACAATTTTTTTTTGATAATTTTGAAAATTTAAATCTAGAAAGTAATTATAGCGTTTTATAGAAGATGGAAGGCTCGAAACCAACCAATGGCTTTCAGAAATGTCTTTGCCGCGGAAAATATAATTTCTCCACCAAAAAAACAAGGCAACACAATTGTGTCAGCGGACATGTTGTTATTTGAACAACTAGTATTGTTTATTCGATTCATTACTCTTTAACGCTTGACGAATCGAAGACAGATATCATTTCGTATCAAAAGTTTCGACTATCTTCAGCTTTAATCTGACTAAGCCAGTTTCTTTTAACAACATTATTAATTTTTTGAATATTTAAGCATAAAATTCATAAACGCAGAACTTTGGGAGCTCTCTTAAATATCACTGTTGTTCTCACATCTTTAGATCGAATTCTCAACTAACCACACTCTGTTAAAGTGGTTTGGTTTTCATGATAAGAGCTTTAAACAAAATACTTTTACCACCTGCACTTGTTCACATTAATAATATGTTCTTCTAATAAAAAGTTCTTTTTGATATTCAGATACAACAATATCCGCTTTGAGTTATTATATCGATTACTTTAAGAGCCTAATCCCGAAAAATTAATGCTTTTCCTACTTCGAAGTTATTAAAAGACTTTTAACAAACGATTCAAAGGCTTATTCCTAGTATCATGGTGATGTGTGTTTAGGCAAATTTAATGAAGCTTTAAAGCGCTCGTTTTATCAATAATAGAATTACTGCCGCACAACCGTGATTATCGTCATTGCAAACGTGTGAAAAACCAACGTCGCCGGCTTAAAGTCTCAACTTGTTTAAATAGGTAGGTAAATAATATGTTTATTGTTGTTGAGTTTTTTATCTTCTATTTAGATCCATAGTCTGTGACCGTATAGCGATAAGATGTTAATTAAGCGTGTCTGACTAAAGTCTGCACTTGCCTAGAAAATCAATCACTAATAGAAATATAAGCAGCCACCGCCGCCCGCACGCACCACCGTGCGGCGCATTCGGCATCGATGGCCGTCAGCTGATGCAAGTCAATAATGTTCGATGAATACTTGTTTATGAGACCTAAATACCACCGTCGCTTCGTTAAGCAACCAATTATGATGTGAGTACGCTCACTGTATGTGTGTGTGTGTATGAATTGTATATAATATATATGTGGGTGTGTGTGTGTAAGTGCACGTCAAATTAATAAACGAATAATTTGCACACGCGGTTTTGATTTCCACTTATACTCTTGGCTGTCTAGACGATTTTTTCACATTGATTTCGCGTTTGTTATTGCTTTTGTTGTTGTTGCACACTATCGTTCAGCTATCCGCCACCTGCTGACCCCCACAGTAGCATAAGCTAGCCCTGTGCATCTACGTATGTGTGCCTGTGTGTTTGTCCTTTTGCAGGTTGCACGTGGCGTATGAGTGATATGCGGGACAACCGGAAGTCGATGGCAATCGACCAATGACAGCGCTGATTTCGCCGTGTAATACAAAAACAGTTTACTAGGTCTGCGATTATTTATGCGATAAAGGCCAGGCATGGCCGTTATATTTGCTTTATGTGATTTTGCTTCACTTCGCAGAAGTGTGTTAGCGTTGATGCCCTGAGCAAAGTGGCAAATATTAGCGGTGATTTAGTAATACTTAACGCTGTTATTAATATTTACCGCTCACTCGGTTCCGAGAAGTGAATGCATGCTAATTGATAAAATGGTATTGACTTTATGCGGAATTTATTTGAGATGAGAATAATAAGAAGCGGCGCGTTATCGTTGTTGCCTAATTAATTTACTTAAAAATTCTCTGGAACTAGCTAGAAGAACATGAAGAAATTTTGATTTCAGGCACACATAGTACCTTCCATAAAATGTACAAAGATCTGCTGTTTTATCAGTCTTCAGGTATTCTAAAAAAATGTGCTGTATTAAAACAGGGAAATATGTTCGTTCGCTTCATCGCGTTTAACAGACCTATTGCGCTCACTGCTAACTGTGCAAATTAAAGAGCTGCTCACTTAAACGTTTGACAAACAAATAAACAATGCAATGTACCTAAATTAAATTTATTTGTGTGCGCCAATAAATAAATAGCAGCAGCAGATGTGTGAAAATCTGTTGGCAAGCTAAGAAAAAAATCACAAACCAAAAACAAAAACAAAGAAGATTTACGCAAAAGACAACGCCGCCAGCAGTCACACTCGAGCAGCTGAACAGCGGCTGAGCAGCACAGCGACAGACAGTGCCGAATAAGTGGATACCGCGTCGTGTTTGCTAAATGACGTTAATGCCAATTACAACAACAAGCGATATTGTTTGAATATTTACAAACACAATTTCGATTGTTGTTGTTTTGTCTGCGCGTATATAATTGGGCTATCTGCGCGAAGCGCACGCTGCTAATGTCATTACAAGCTGGAAATTGCATGGAAAATTACTCCTACGTCATTTTGACAGTTGTTCATATAGTTGTTGTAAATATAATATCATCGTACAGCTAATGTTTCAAAAAATATAACAAAAACAAGCAAACATTTTTTGAAATTACTTCGCAAGTGTTAGAAGAGCGTTTGAGAGTTCAACGCAAGCAAGAGAAATAACTGTCAGATGCTCAAAATGCATTTGCAACAACAACATGTGTCATGTGACGTAAGCAGCAGATAACAGTGGCAACATGTATTGTCATATGAATGAGAGCGCCCAATCAGCGAGTGAGCGCAAAGTAGAGCGCATAGAGAAACGGCCATTGACGAAAGAGACCTGCGCATTGCAGCAAGTCATAAAAATTGCATTTCCTAACTGTCGAGTGACGCAATTCGCCGACGAGACGTAGTGTCTACAAACACACACGCATACGTAAGCACAAATATATTATATGGCACACGTGCAAAGCAATATAATAATTATTTGCAGCTTGATATGTGCACATATGTGTGATTTTTTATCATTTAAGTCATTGTGAAGGTTCTAATGTGTGTTTTGTAAAGGTTCTAATAGGCAATGCTAAAACATTGGTTACTGGGTATTATGAAAGATGCCCGGAGGTGCGAGCATAGATAATACAGAGAGTGGGCTTTGCCTCTTTGCATTTGTTCTTGCATTTTGAGATAAATTTGGTTACAAGGTAATGTCAAAGAGGAATTTCCCTCTCTCTCTCTCCCTTTTGTAATGCACTTAAGACTTCTTACAGTTGCAGCCCAAAAATTAGATACTTATGGGAATATAAATAAGATATTAGATAGAATGGGAATATACAAGTAAAAATACAGATAATAAAAATAAACTGATAATAAAGAAAGATTTGTTTCCATAGTGCACTTACTTACACCTACATATTGTAGCTATAGTGTAAACAATTTTTATTTCCTTATTATATCTCTCATGTTTTTAATGAAAATGTACGCCTATCCTTTACCTTACTGCTATTGCATTGGTGAGCCACCAAAGCTGCCTTAGACAATAATCTGTGCCAAATTACGAGAAGACGCATCATTAAATAAAAAAGTTGTCCTTGGACTTGATTTTGTATGGCAGTTTTATCCTATAGTGGTCCAATATTGGCACTTCCGACAAATGAGAAGTTTCTTGACCGAAATGGCTAAATCGACTTAGTTTGGCCTGCTAAACATTTAGACATACTTTATTGCATTTAACTGTAAAACCAACTGCTAAGCACGACATTTTTACAAATATGTATGATAACAAGATTTTATTTAAAATCCCTGTTATAATCGCTATTTCGCCTTTTTTGCAAGCTAGTTTAATGCAACGGTTTTTATACGGGCACTTCTTTCCTCTCACTCACACCCTCACTACAAAACGTGCGGCGTCCCTAACTTTCGCTCATTATTTTTTCCACTCCCTCTCGCTCAAAAACACATGCTCTCATTCCTTTGCGTAGACTCACCAACACTGGCAAAAGTGTGGCGAATTCGACTGCACTAAAGCAAAGAAATTTTCGCGCATAAAAATGCTTTGCTTGCGATACTTTTTGTTGCAGCTTTGCGATTGTAATAATGATTAATTAAGTAGCATTCAAAATATTTCTAAAGTATTTCAAATAAAAAATTAAAGCAATTATGAAATATATTTCGCTTGTCCCTCGGGCGTTCACCTACAGACAGACAAGCCAACACACACATACCCACGCGACTGCTCGTAATTAGCATTGCAGCGACTTGTATGCAACGTAATGTGCAACGTTTGCGCCCCTCTTTCGCGCTCAGCTTGAGCCTCGATTTCATCAACAAACCAGCCAGGTGGCGCTGGTGCCACACACTAGCCTGGCACATCAGCTGCTCCAAACACGACTATGATGTTGCCGATGATGATGTTGGTGATGATGATGACGGTGGCGAATTGAAATGTCTGCAACATCGAGCAGTGCAACTCAGTCGCTCCGCAGACGGCAAAGTATAAGCTTACGTTTCGTGTACGTACGGTTCGAATTAAGACACAAATTGCACCGCGCATAATGATTACACCATAAAATAGCAGAAAATATATGTTTCGGTATAGAGTGACGAAAATCAATTGAAAGCGCAGGCTAATAAAAAATGCCTTCAAACAAAAGCGCAAACTTGCCAACACACATACACGCAGGCATGTCTAGGTGTGCGCGTGTTAGTCATTTGCATACCTGGCTGGAGCTGGGCGTATAGTGACAAGTGCGGTGTGTGAGGCAATGTTTGCGAAATACTTGAAAGAAATACGTTAGTAACCAAAGTGGGATCGGATAGTGAGAAACCAACAACAACAGCAAAAATAAATAAATAAAGCATTCAACTCGTCAGCAGCTTAGCTGTGTATGCCGGTCTAAAAGCAAAACAGCAAAAAATTTGCAGACGTGATTCTAGCGAAAATCAGCGGAAAGAGAAAATCGCACTTCAGCGAAAACATAAATTGAGCATCGAATGAATAGCGTAAGTAATGCAACGAGCAATATGGAGGGTAAAACACAAATGTTAATTTAAAATTATTAAAAAAAATAATAATTCAATGTAAATTTAATAACATTTCGAGCTTAGTTTTAAGAAGTGTGGGCAATACTTACAAAAATATATACATATGTACATATTTATGTAATCATGAGTTCTTAGAAAGCATTTATGTTGTGTATAAGTTCACTGAAACTGTGCAGGAAGAGTCAACAAAAACAACTTGTCTGCATTAAGACAGTAGGACTTTCTAAATTCTTTCGATCGCATATATTCACTCATATTTTCAACAACAATATTATCCGTTATTGGCTTTTTGGTATGAACAAAATTTTTTTCATGGAAGTAAAACTGATTCAAGAAATTCATGAACTAAATTAAAAAACTATTTTTTGAACAATTTAACAAGTATTTTCGTTTTCGAATGAAATTATTGTCATACTCGAATAATCAACAATGTATTATGGACCTAAAGAAACGTATAATTAAAGCAAAACAAGGAAAAAACACTTCACAGCCTAACAAGGTTCAACTTTGCCTCAGGATAAAAGTTTTTGATGTAGTCTCTTAACATTAAAAGTATATTTCTTCAGAGACTTTAGAAAAGTAAGAGATGTGGTAGTACTTTACCTATTTTTGAAGGCTGCAATCGAAATACAAACACTTGGAACCATTTTGACTAATAGTCCAAGGAAACGATTTCAATTGAAAATACTTCTTTATAAATAATATAAAGGTACCTTTTTGAGTTAACAAGCTGAGTTTTAATGGTATAAAAAGCATCTTAACTTTACCAAATATAAGTCCTGCGTGAGTAAAAATTGATTAAAACTGTTTAAAATACTCGTAGAACTTATGTTCAGCTTACTTAAGAACTTATAAGCTGAAGTGTATTTTTCTCTGAAGCTTTATTACTTTGCTTCTTGCATTAATATACAAAAGAATTTAAATATATACATAGGTATATCTGCAAACCTTCAAACATGAAATTTATAGTAGCCAAGATACTCGCTTTTGTCATTTAACTAGCAATAATCTATGGAGAAACGGTTTGCGCTCAAGATTTTCACAACTGCAAGCCCACCTACTCCTAAACCAGTAATTAAGTACAGCATTCAAACGTCAAGAAAATTGCCCCAAAAAAACAAAAAGTTAGTTACGTCATAACACGATTCTCCAGCATCATCGCAAACGGCAAACAAAGTGTGTGCGTGACGTATTTGTAAACGGAAAACAGCAAAAACAAAACTGGTTTGGAAAACATAAACATAGAAACCAGCAAATGTTCAAAGGAAACGAAAAAGCTAACGACCATCGCCAATCAAGTGGATGTGCACCTAAAGATACACGAATACACATATTTGTGCATACCCTACAAGAAATAGGAGCTTCAGCTGACACTTTCACAGAAAACTATATCTACTGAAACTGCAAATCATATAGTGCTGCTCATTAGGGTTCAAAGGTAAATACTTAAAGGTGGTGAAGGTGAATAACAGCAGCGTCTTTCCAGCTTCTGAATACCAGTTGAAGACTTTGACTTTTTTTTAAAATACTTCTGTTGTAATGAAAGCATTAAAAACTTAAGACGGATTTGGAAATTTAGTATGCTTAAGATTACCATACTCCCACTTTCCAAAGTTCCATTCTATAATGAGAGATCATCAGCTAAGATCTACTAATCTAACAATTTGTATCGAAACCTCATCCACACTAACCAAAAACTTTCTGAATGGTCCAAAGAATGAAATTGGCAAAATCTCAAAAACAAAGTAAGTTTAGTTAGACCAGTATTTAAAAGAAAAGACTAGTTGGCCACTGTGTATAATTCCAATGAGAACTACAGCTCTTCACTCGTATTAATTGCGGCAAAGCCGATGACAAAGAAAAAAAACGAAACAATAAAACATTTTAGAAAATTTGGGAAAAACAATAAAATATAATTAGGCGCAAGCTAAAATACGAAAAAGTGAGGGGATGTGAAAAAAGGTGGAAATTAAGAACATGAAAAAACAATAAAAGAAGAGTCGAATTTAAAAGCAAAATCTAAAAAAAGATGATTAAATAAATCATTAAAACGTGCTGAAGTGTGTGAGTATTTATTATGGAAATGAAACTAAATGGAGAGGGAGAGACAGAGAGTTAATGAGTGAATGAGAGGAAACAAAAACAACATTAAAAGAGTAGGAAATAAAAATTGAACGGAAATAAATAAATGCGGTAAAAGTGGCAACAACCACAACTCAATAGACGAGGAAGTGTGAACTAACAAATCGCAGAGACAAAGGCAAAACAAAAACAATTCCAACGAAGTGAGCTAAATGTGCAAAAAACAAACAAAATTCGCTCTGTTGAAAGAGAGATTTTGAGCTTCGAACACGAAGTGAGAGCGTCAAATGAGTGCAAAAAAAAAAACAAACTTGACAAGAAAAAGTTGTCAACGAGGCAAATAAACGAGCACGACCAGCAGACGACGACGACGACAATCAACCACCGACAACCACCAGCGCATAATCAACAACACCAATTGCAAGAGCAACAACAACTTACGACAATATCAAATCCATAACAGCAACAACAACGACAGTCTGCGTCTGTGCTGTTGCTCACCAGCACATCATCATTATCTGCAACGGAGCCGCTGAGCCACGGCGCTACGGAGCACCATAACGAGCCGCCATCGAAGAGGCTAGCAAGTTCGGTTAGTTAGTCGCTTGACCGTTTCACTGAGGTGGTTGCTTGGCTCAGTCGGTGAATGCCCGTCAGGCGCGTCGGTTGTAAATTTTCGTACGCCATTCTCATTACGGATGCCATTAACGAAAGACGACGTGCGAATAAAAGCAATTAAACACTATTCAACCACTACAGATCTTTTGCTATTCACGAACGTGAAAAATAAACGCTCCCAACCCAAAGTGTGTGATAAGATTAAGGCGAAAAAATCAAGAAAACAGCAACAAAAATCGAAAGAGGTAAAAATAAATAATAAATTTAACATTTTTGTGGCGGCTAATGTCTCGTCTGCGTCTACGTCTACAAGCGTCGTCTGGTGTGGTGCGTCGTACACTTGGGCTATTTTCGTTAGCTTAAAATACTTACACACCGACGTCCGAGTAGTTTTGTGCGATAATTTGAAATTTTTTCTGCCGAATTTTCGTATTTCATTCCGCTGATTTTGGCTCATGTGAGTTCGATTTCGGTTTTGTTTTTCGCCTCTTAACGTCGACGAGACGACGCAAACAACGTCTGTGTTGAAGAATTATCTACCAAAACAACAACAAATTAGATAAATATGAGTGGCATGAAATAAATATCAGAAATTCCTTTGGTTTCTCGCGTTATTATTATTTACAGGCGTGTGTGCGCGTGTGTGCACAATATCTTTACGTAATTGCGATGCGGCCAGACAACGGCAATAATAGCAACAAAAATAAATAAGTATAAAATAATTAAAATATCAACAGTAATCGTTGCATGGACACAAAGCGGTGAAGGCAGACCAGATGATTGAATGGAAATTGAATGAATTGTTGTGATTTAAGCGCAATAACAATAAAATAATAGGGACAGCGCCAGCACATCCAGCTGAGGAGTCTACTCGCAAAAATAAAAAGCGAAAAGTGAAAATAGTCGGAGATTAATTTTCTGGCAGACGGAGGCGTAAACAATTAGCACAACAAGTGTTAATAAACGCTTCGCTTTTTTAATAAAAGAACACGCGAAATCTGAATTTTAATTATATCGAAACTACTCATATAAGAATAAAAGAGTACTAGTCAACGCATGACCAGCAAAAATTCTTAAGAAATTAACGCAAAAAAAATGACATTTACGTCAAAAAAACATTAAATTAGATAAGTAATGTATCTGTCTGCGTTCCTGTTAATCAAACATTCCTAAGCTACAAAAGAATTAAAATAAAATATTATATATAAATAAAACACAACAACAACAAAGTAAGCACACACTCGCCGGTGCACACAAGCAACAAGTTTCCAAGGAATCGCTAAAAATAAATGCATGTATGTAAATAACGAACGCAGAAACTACACGCCAGTCTGCACACAAACATACACACACACATATGTGCAAGCCCTAAAAAATTAAAAATTAAATTTTAAAACATAAAAAAATCATTGCTAATTAGCGAACACAATAAAACAGATATCTTTAAAATATGCCTGCCGTTAAATATTTATAGATCGACGCACAGCAGTAAGCAACAACAACAACAACATATAAAACCTCTAACCAGCAAACGGCACTGGAAAAGTATCAAAAAAATAAAAACAATTTTTAAATAATAAAAAAAATAATATAATTATGTATTTCACATGAAAATGCTAGCAATCTAGTCTTAATGCCCGTTAGACTAAACAAAATTTATTGATCATTTCATTTTATAAACAATGCGCTGATCAAGTTTTATTTTAATAAATTAAATAATCAAAAAGCTGCAAGTTAGTTTTCGTCGAGTGCAACTAAAGCGTTAAGTGGAAATTTTCAAGTGCATACTTTTTATTTTATAAAATAACAAAAAAGTTAATTTACACACATATGTACATACGTACGTGTTTAGATGTACATGTGTGTGCGCGCCTAACGTTGCTCGAAAAGTGATTAGAATTATCAATTGAAAACCAAACAAACAACACAAAGTAATTAAATGACACGCCACAGCAGCAGCCAGCAAAAATAATCAGCAAGCAGTAAGTCGCACAATTTTTATTTTTGTTTTATTTAAATATGTCACCTCTCTTTCTATAATCAATACAAATATTTAAGTCAAACTATGATCAAATCGTGAATTTCTGGATTTTGTTTTTTTTTTCACAGAAAAATTATTTTTTAGTTGTTATTTTTAAAAAATTTGCAGTTTAAAAACATAAAAATTAAATTTTTGAATTTTGTAAAAATCGGTGAGTTATTTTCTCTCAATAACCGGAAATTTATAGTGGTATATGAGAAAAAACGTATAATATATTTTTTTCTAATTCAATTTTGCAAAATATTTTTATTTTTGTACTTTTTCCAAAGTATATGTATATATGAATATTGTACAATATTCTTTTTGTGTTTTATTTTGAGTTTTATTGAATTTATTTGTTAAAGTTCCTGTATCTAATTAATTGACATTCGGTTATTTGAATCTTCCACATACATATTTAAATCATGTAAAAGAAGTTAATTTACCAAATATTTTCTCCAATTAACTTGTTATCCCCACAAAATAAGTTAACAATATGTGCTAATGTAAAAAAGAAGTATATAATTTCACAAGACACTATCTTGATTGATCTAGCTTATTGACTAAAGGTGGAAATGCTATTCAGCATTTATTGGATATTTATAAATTGAGCCAAAAACTGCTAATTTTTTAACATAACCAAACAGTATTATCTGAAGAGATAAGAGTCCATTACTTATGATTATACGTGTAATAGTATTTTCAGCGAGGGTACTTCGATATAGTCTTAGTTATATTACTAATGGAGCTCCTATATGATCTGAAAACTAAAATGTTTTTTTGTGTCGTGTAAGCGAGCGTCAAAAGAATACTCGCCAAAGAGAAACAAAACATGAATACTACAAAATTTCGAAAAAAGTTCAGTAAAAATCTCTCAAAAATGTTTTAACTATGCCAAGAGCAAAATCAATCACAAATACATGTAAGTATGTCTTCACGACGTTTTAGACTCTGTTCGCTTCCGCTCTTTTGTGAAAAAAATTACATGTAAAAGCAACAACAAAGTTATCGAGTTGAATTCGTACAAGAGAGTTTGCGGATATCTCATTAACGTTGTATAGCTGTTATCTTAAATGCTATAATATTTTGGTTTGCATATTTTAGACCAGTTTTACTATTGTGAATGGCTCAAATGACAAAAAAATTAGGTTATAAACATATATAAGGGTTTATACAAAACAAAACTAACGGGCTATTAAAACATTTTTTTATACGGAAGAAAGAATTTCTCCACCAAGAAAGAATCGTAGCACAATTGCGTATGCGTCAGAGGACATGCTACCGCGGGGTCGCACTACAAGTGCTGCCAGTTTATTTGAACATCTCGTATAGTTTGTTCGATTAGCTACTCTCCAACGCTTGGCGAATCGGAGACAGCTATTATTAAGATATATTGTCTATGTCTTCGTGTGCGCAACTATTATTTATGATTCTTAAGACAAATGCCTCACTTCAACGCTCCATTTTTAGTTTCTCTTTTACATATAATCATAACAAAATGACTCAAAAATGGACGTGATAACTCAAAAGTTGGTAAGCTGTCTGCATACAAAACACTCGAGCGATAAACATATATTTAGTTATAAATATTATATGGTCATAACCATATACACTACAACATACAAACACTTATATACAAGTATTTAGCATCTCTACGTACCAAATATAAAGCTCGCGCTGTCAATTTGGTCAGCGCTTCAGGGTCCAGTGTCTTACTTTTATGATTTGGCAAATTCCAAAAAAACGCTAATTAATTCAGATTTCTTTTTAGAATAAAATTTAAAAACAATGCAAAGACGCTTTTCGACTGCGAAATAACCAAATTTGTCTGCGCTACGCCAGACGGTTCAAGACAAAAATGTAAAGCAAGTTATTTTTGACACTTACTTAGCATATACTACATAAATTTGGAAAGCTTCAGCCAGTGGTTGTAGTGACTTGTGATGAAGCAAAAGTGTATTTTTAGCTCTGAAGTTCGACACAGTGCAAGCGAATGAAGAACTCGGCGTCCATGAGCCATCGTAATGTTGTGAACCCATTCTCAAGCGAACCTCTTTCTTGTATTTGCAAAGATCGCTCTATCGCTGGCAAAGTGTAATGGCGGCAATGAAGGCCGGTGCGTGCGTAGATAACTGAACAGTTTGGGCATTCGAAAGTCAACTCAAAGCCTCGAATTGTTGTTGCTGCTATAGATACGCGTAGCACCAAAAGTTTTATCAAAAATATAAATCCGCAAAAAATTAAATTAATAAAAAATTTACATTTTTTACTTCATTTTTTTTGTACGTGTTTGTGTACACAGCATTTTTCTAGCTAAATAACTAAATATCCAGTGCCCAACAAGCGACTGCGAATTCGCACTGTTCGCATTCAACGATTTTTGGCTTTTGTTCACGCTTCAAAAACGTGGAAAGACATAATTACCGCACACGTTGGCGGCGCGTGATTCAAGTCAGAGTTAAAAGAAAGCATTAAAAACATTAGAAATGAAAAACGTAGGCAACGAACGCGTTTTATTTACACAAGTATATTATTATTTCTATTTATTATAAACTAGCGTTAAACTTCCCGAGAACTTGATAAAATATTATATTTTGCTGAAAGCTGTGAACGAAACAATCGACCAGCCGGAAAGTTGTGTCAAAAGGCTCAAAAATTAAGAAAATGTATTTTAAATATTTTATGTTTCAGTGTTGTTACAAAACATACATTAGGTTTCTTATTTTTCAATTATATTTCGTCCTAGTTCTCTTCATAATTTATGACAAAAAAACAATGAAAAAAAACTATTAATATATAATTAGTACTTGCTCCAAAATATTTGAATAATACAGTCATTTCCAAACTAAAATAATTTACCATACACGCTACTCAAATTTTTGAAATTTAATAATAATCACTCAATTATATTGAATATATCAAAGATTTGGGTTTTCCGTATTAAAAAATTAGGAATAATTTCATAATTATAAAAAATTAATTTTAAATTTTTTTTTTTTTTAAAGACAACAATATTTCAAATGTCAAAAAAACTATGCCAACATTAAGGATTTATGAAAGAACTCTAGGTTCTTTAAAGAGATATTCGTCCCCAAAGCCATCAGCAAAGTAAATACGAGTCAACACATCTAAAAGTTAACTTCACATTTCAGTTGTGCATTTTTCCTACAGCACAGTGATCGAAACAAACGTTATTACAGACTTTTGTATGTTTGGTTGGTTATGTGTTTTCAAAAATATTATACTGCATGTCGATTTAAATAATCCCGCTTAGTTAACTGTTTGTCGCATTGCAGCAAAAGCATTTGCTGTTATAACGGCAACAACGAAAAGTTAGCAGCAAATGAATAAAAAGGTGGCAAGTATCTAGCAAATTTATTGCATTTGTGGCAAGCTTTGACCGTTATACAAGGTAAACTTGTACAGTGCATAGACAAACGAGCAAAAGCAGAGAGTGGGAGAGTGAGAAACCGAGAAATTATGTATGTACGCTTAAACTCGGTATGTTGCAAGTTAAAATATGTAGTACTTAAGAGTATTTCATTAATGCCAAATATGATGAAAAATGTTTAATATAAAAATTAATTAATTCACATATGTATGTATATTGTATATACATAACGAAGGTCTCGAAATTATTAAATTTGAAATTTGCGAAACTTTTATTCGTATTACATCGTCAAAATAGTTTCACTTTCCAAAAAATTAGTAATAACGAAGATTAAACAGTTATTTTTTATATACCAATGCCCCTCTTGTTTAATTGCATATACATATGTACAGACGAATACATAAAAACATATATACACTGGTGGCAGTTTCATTGTTATCCTATTTTATTTCACTCCACGCCTAGTCTTCGTTATGCCACGAAGGCCCGCAAAAAGGGGCACAAACAGTCAGTCAGCCGTCCAAGCGACAAGCAAAAAAGTTAGCGAAGCGCTGACAATCCTCTGGGCTCCATATTTGTAAGAGAACATGGTAGGAATAGAAAAACAAACTAAGCATGTATGTAGGAGCGTTTACTCCATTACGCATGAGTTCATTGAACGTAAATAATTTGCTTACCTACATACAGCCGTATATATGTATGTACATACATATGTGCAGAAATACATACCCATAGACATACATATAGTAGATTTTCGTACTTAGCATATATTATTTATATATGTATATTGTACTATGTGTGTATATTTTTGTGCTGCAAGCGTAAAAGTGCAAAAAACACATAATAGTCAACAAAAGAAAGCAAGCAAGAAGAAGCATTTCCATGCGATTTTTTCCAACAGAAATGTGTATGTATGTGTGCGCATAAAAAATATATATATTTGCGTACATAAAATTATGCGTGGTCGAATAGTCACATACACACATACGCACATACACACACTAATAGAAATATTTGTGAGTAGAAAATAGTTGATATATTTATGTGCTCACGTACGTTAATACACCTGCCCCTCCCGTGTACTTTTTGCACAAGTACATAGAAGTGTATCCTTATATTCATGCGTACATATATACATGTGTACATATATACATGCATACATACGCATAAGTTATGTGCGTGCCTATTTCACTACGACAAAACGCTTTTATGCGATAGAATACGGAATAGTTTTTCAAAACACTCTCAAAGCTAATAAATGCCGTATGTGCATACAAATACATACATACATAAGTACGATTTAGCTGTTGGCAATAGAGTTACGGTGCAAAAACATACCATTATTTACATGAATGTATAGAACAGCTTCGCTTCGCTCTTGTGTGCTGTGCAATGTTATGCTTTAGTTTGCCCATTCTGACCGAACTTTGTACTCCCTCCGGTTGTGTATATATGTATATACCATATACGCATTTGTGTAGCGCACGCATGCAATGTAATGCACATTGCGAATATATATATGGAGCCATAAAAAATATTATTTATTTCGTTTCTTGTTTTTATTTTCGCTT